GCGGCGCGCCGCCTGGGCCCCCGCTGCGCCCGCCCCTGCCGCAGGGAGTCTAGGTAGGGCTGGAAGGCGCCCCCGGCACCGCCGCCGTCCCCTACCCGCCGGGAGTCCGCGGAAGCCATGGCGGACACGCGTGGTCTTCGGTGCCGCAAAAGCGACGTGGCCGCGGGCTCTGCGCAGGCGCGGGGAGCGGAGCATCACGGGAGCGGTAGTTCCTGGCTTCCCTCCTTCCGGCCGCGGGCTCTGGGGCCGATGGGAGTTGTAGTTCCCCGGGGCGCGGCTCTCCGGGAGCGAGGGTCACGCGCTCCCGCTTCCGGGCTCTGGGCCGCTGTCGCCGCTCTTCACGGCGAGAAAGGGTGAAGAGGATGAAGTACATTTAATCAGACCGCAGTTCGGCCAGGGATGGCACGGGATGGACGGGCTTGCTTGCGGGAGCCAAGCCCGACGCGGGTTCCGAGATGGTGGCTGAGACCGCAGCCGAGTCCTGGAGAGTGAGCTGGGTCTCTGGACTCAGAGAGAGAGGCCACTGCGGGAGCACGGAGTCCGAGCAGCGGCGCCCCGCAGAGGGCAGGTGCAGCTTGCGGGAGTAGCCGTGCCGTGCCCAGGAAGTGGAGCCCGTGGAAACCCGCAGTGTGGACCAGCGCTTAATGGAGCCGGAGCGAACACGAACCCCTGTGCGCGCTCAATGTCCGGGTCGGATGTGGAGCTAGGAAGAAGGGAGGGAGGAGAGCAGGCCGTGGAGTGACCGTGCCCTGGCGGGGTGCGTTCTCTCTCTGTGTGTGTCTGTCTCCCTACGGAGCACGCACCTGTGACAGTAAAAGAAAGAACACCGCAGTAGTCATTCCTGCAGAGAGGAGAGACCCTTCTCCTCCATAAACTAAACTGTCCATTTGTCAGAGACGTTTCCCTTCTGCTCTGCATCGCTCCAGTGTGCCATGAAACACATCTGAGACCCAGGGATCCCAGTCACGGACAGTGCCCCACTCTAGCTTATTCTTAGCACTCTCTTTTTGTCGTTGTTGTAATAGGAATTATTCTAATTATTATTTTTAAATTTGACCAGAGAGAGAGAGACAGGGAAAGTGAGAAAGCAAACCACCAGGTCTGGGACTCCAACCATGGTCAGCCATGTGGGAGTCCATCACCTTAACTACGTTCCACCTACCAGCCCCTTCATCACTGTGCCTTTAAGAAAATGTGCCACGAAGAGTTTTGGGGGGGTTTAGCATAGGGCCAGTGCTCTTTCAGCAAAGAGATGGAGAGACAGCAGGAGGGAAACTCAGAAAGTATTGCTCATGGGGGATGACTTTTGGGCGCCCACTCACATGTCTGGCATGATTTTCTTTTTTTTTTTAAAGAAAAAAAAGAATTATTTAATTTAGCTTAACTCTTCATCCTCATTATCATCATTTTTTAATTTGATCAGAGAGAGAGAAGGAAAATAAGAAAGCAAACTGCTAGGTCCAGTACTCAAACCATGGTCAGCCATGAGGGAGTCCAGTGCCCTAACTACCACGCCATCCACTAGACTTCTTGGCATGATTATTAATCCATCAGGTGTGGGACTCAAACTATGGTCAGCCCTGTGGTAGTCCAGCACATTAACCACAGAACCACCTGCTGACCCCCCAAGGAGTTTGTTGTTTTGCTGTCTTTTGTGTTTTAGAGAGATTTTTGCTATAGGGCACATGTGCTCGCCAGAGAGACAGAGAAATAAATAAATCACCCCCCAGGGGCGATGGCCACACTGCAATCCCTTCTCCATTCTCCCCGCAGGATTTCGGGCATGAACACACATGTGTCTGGTGAGAGTTTTAAGCTGCTGGGTCCAGGACTTGAACCTCAGTCCACTACATGGAAGTCAGGCTATGTAGCCATTATACCATCTGCCAGTCCCCCCAAGGAGTTTTTAAACAATTAAAAACTTAAGCAATAATGAAAGACAAAAAGATGAAAATCATAAATCACCCTTATTTTTCTACCTGTAATATCTGATGAGACTTATTCCAGACATGTTTTTGTACGTATAGACTGATAGGGCAGTATGAATAAGAAAGAGTAAAGAAAAATAAATGATTTAACAGGAGATTGTAATACATTCTGCTGTATTCCTGTCCCTTACATTGTCTGACTTATGGCAGACACTGGTAAATTGTTGGCTAAGTGGTCCCAGGTCTGCTTCTGTGCCCACGACGGCCCCTCACATCCCTTCCTCACACCCCTGCCTACTGAGGTCCTATCACGCTAGCCTAACATAGTTCATCTCTAAGTCTGGCTTTTTTAGTGGAATGTGCTAGTAAGAATGGTTATATTTCAATAAAAGAGACCGATTGGATTTTCTCTAACATCATTCAACATTCTTAATCCAATACTCAAAGATGGGGTCAATCCTCCTCATCCATCAATCATACTTTTACTGCAGGCATCTGAGAAGGCAGCTCAGACAGCTCCTTTTTTCTTTTCTTTTTTTTTTTTTTTAAGGCAGGAGGAGAGGAAAACAAGTAGGCTCAAGAGGTCCCAAGTCCTCCACATCAGAGTTGACTCGCTCACCTTGATTGCACCATATCTAAACTTTTTCAGGTCCCTCAGATACCTACTGAAGGGCCAGAGTGACTCCATTTCTTTTGGTGGCGACTCCATTTTGTTAAACCCACTTTGCTGAGAATCGGTGCTATTTCAAGGAGGTGAGCCAGTCACATAGGAAAAAGTCATGAGACCATTACCATACCGAGACTGACCAATGAGAGAAACAAAGGAGATGCCAGAAACAGCTACACTCCCTGTAATCTACAGCCAATGTGTAGCCGCCCGAGTGCTTTCCTCAGCACCCCTCGACCCGCCTCCCCCAGCAGCCAAATAAAAACCCAGCCCAACTAACACGGGAGGGGCAGGGGGGGGGCTGTCAACTCTGACCCACTGTGCTGGTAAGATTGGGAATCCTGGCTCAAGCCCGAATAAGAGCGACCCTTGTGTTTACATCAAAATTGCCTCCTTGGGGTCTCTTGGGAATTTTGTGACCGGGGTGCCACACCTACCCACTCCCACACATGCACTAAACAAGATCATCATCATTTTCCAGGTGTAGGCACAAGTTGGACCTGGATCTATTCCCAAACTGCTGGATCTCAGCTGGAAACTAGTGTGCACTTCTCCAAATGCCTGAACTGGGAAGGAAGTAGCTGGAGGCCCTAGATGGTCCCTATCTGCTGATGGAGCAGTACAGGGTAAACAAACGATGCCTTATCTTTCCAGGACAGAGAAGGGTGATTTGAGGCCAGGCTAGGATGCAGATGTGACACTCGGTCACTGTTTGTCTGGTACTGCAAAGGTACAGTGTCATCACACTCGTGGGCTCTTTCCTGGCGAGAGGAAGACAGTGTCAGCCACAGCTGTCTTGGCATTATTTAAGGTGTCCTGTGAGTGCTGTTCACTGGCATATCCAAATGCATGCACAGGGTGACAGTGACGTGGACAAGAAGAGTCACCATGGTGTTCTCCAACCATTCAGAAATAGCTACTACTTTTTTTTTTTTGAGAGAGAGAGATCTTTGCTGTAGGGCACGTGTATGTTTACTGGAGAAACAGAGACAGAGAGACAGGAAGAGAGAAGTCACACACACACACCCCCAAGGGATGGCCACACTGCAATCCCTTCTCCATTCTCCTCTTTGGACATGCATGCTTAAGTGCCTAGCATGAGTTTTAAGCCGCTGGGTCTGGGACTTGAACCTCAGTTGAATACACGGGAGTCTAGCAATGTAACTGTTACATGATCTGCTGGTCCCCAGAAATAACTTATCTGTTAAAAAGGAAAAGAATGTTTTCTTCTTCCCAAAGCTTCCGAATATTAACAAGATCTCAATGTAACCTTTGGAGAATTATTTAGGTATACTTCCCTGAGACCTTAAAATATATAATTTCACAATACAAAAAAATGTAAAATCCAGACTATCTATTATCAAACTTCTCCCTGGGAGTCACTTGAAAAAAAGTAACTGAACTAACAGGTATTATTATTTTTTTTTTTTGAGAGGTTTTTGCTATAGGGCACGTGCGCTCGCCAGAGAGACAGAAAGCGAGAAATCACCCCCAGGGGGGATGGCCACACTGCAATCCCTTCTCCTCCATTCTCCTCTCGGGATCTTGGGCACGCATGTACAAGCACCCGGTGTGAGTGTAAGCCACCGGGTCCAGAACTCAAACCGTGGTCAACTACATGGGAGTTCAGCGATGGCCATTACGTTAACTGCTGGTCCCACTAATAGGTATTATTTTGAGAAATCAAGTGGCACGTGCCAAATTAGTATTTCCTCCATCTCTCCAAGACTCCTGCTCAAATATAACTGCCCTTCTGCACATACAAACATGTATGTTTATGGTGTCTATTCAAATGTATGATTATATACTGTACATCTTGTTACGAAACTTGTCTTAACCATCTTTCCCCAGAATTCATGTAACTCTACTTGGTTCTCTGTAAATGCTGCAGAAGATACCAGTGTTTGGACACATCATAAATCATCCTAGTGCCCTAATCAGGGACAGTTAGCATGTTTTTATTTATTTTTACATTATAACAAACACCCTGGGGGAGTATGTTCTTGGGATATATTCCCAGAAATCAGCAATAAAGGATGAACACATTTGAAGGATAATAGCTTTGGCCACATGCCGTTCCAGAGAGAAGCTTCGCTAATCCAGATTCACATCAGCAATAGGTAACAATGACTGTTTTCTCCATTTCTTCCACACTTCTTGGTGTTAGCCATTTTTTATTTCAGAGAGCCTTTTGCTATAGGGCATGTGCACTTCCCAGAGAGACAGAGAGACGGCAAAAAAAAAATCACTTTCCAGAGGGGACAGCCATGCTACAATCCCTTCCCCTCTACTCTCCTTTTGAGATTTTGGGCACATACACACACACACACACATGGGTGGTCAACCATGTGGGAGTCCAGCAATGAAACCATTCTACCCTCTGCTGGTCCTGGTGTTAGCAATATTTTGAATTTTAGGTGGTCCAAGAAAAATGTCTCTTCTCATGCATTATTTCTTTAATTATGAGTAAATCAGTTCATATTTTAGATGTATGTTAGCCATAAGTATGTTATCTAGTATATCTCTAATATTTTTTTTTTGCCTATTTTTGATTGGGTTGTTCATCTTTTTATACTAATAAA